GGGGGGGGGGGGGTCTGGCTCCCGGCATCACTGAGCTGGGCGACAGAGCTCTGAGCTTGTGCTGGACCCTGCTGAGATTTCCACATCCACATTCTCATTGTTTGCCTCATTTAGATGCTGAATTTAAAACTGTTTTGGTTTTTTTTTCCTTTGGTCCCCTCTAGGCTTTAGCCTCGTATAGTTTGTGTAGCGCTGTACAAGGCCCTTGCAGCCAGACGGGTCCTCCATGGCCCTTCCTTAACATAACACAAATGCAGGCAACAGGCCTTTGGTTCCCGTGCACGGAGCAGTGTAGAGGAGCCTGGTCCTGGCCCAAAGTGGCATCTTCCCCGCCGAAAAGCTCCCCGGGTCCCTGCACCCTTCCTGGCTCTGCCGTTCCGCCCCTCCCTGTGGTGGGGGCAGGGTGGTAATTCTTCCGCTTGCTTTCAGATCCAAAAAGTTGATCCAGGAGTCAGATCAGCACCTGAAAGATGTAGAGAAGATATTGCAGAACGACAAGCGGTATCTGGTACTCGACTGCGTGCCGGAGGAGAGGCGCAAGCTCATCGTGTCCTACGTAGATGACCTGGACCGCCGAGGCCCGCCCCCGCCGCCCACCGCCTCCGAGCCCACCAGGCGAACAACAAAATAGTTACGAAATACTCTGAAGCCAAGGGTATCTGTTAAATCAAAAGCTTGCATGAGCCATCTGTCAGGTTTATACATACACATTACCGTGAATATATTGCAAAACCATCTGAGGAGCAGAGGAAGAAGCAGCATTTGTGAACATAAAATGGTCTCTGGGGGGGGGGAAACCAACAACAAAAAACCCACGTAAAGGTATTTATGAATTTCTCTGGGGCATGACTGACAAAGATCGATCGTGTGGGCTGTGTTTGGTAGCTTCAGCGCCGCGAGCAGCGCGGTATCCGTGGGGTGTGGGTGTCTGGAAGCTCTTCTCAGCAGCGTCGCCCACGTGGGTCTGGAGGACGACCTCGCCCGTGGCGTCAGTTGTACTGCGAGTGCGCGCTGGCGCTGACGGGCCCCGGCCCAGGGGACGGCGCTGCCCCCGCGCCGCCTTCGCTTGCTCCTGGCTGAAGACCCATCCTGGAAACAAGGCCCAGGTCTGCTCGCTTCCGCCCTTGTAAATGGAACTAAATCGATGAAAGCCAGAGTTAGAGCTGAGACAGGAGAATTAGGACTGAGACCAAATTAAATTTGTTCACAGGTCTGCTTTGTTCCTTACCCTACCCATGAGTTAGAAGCAAAACCAGGTTGCTCTGCCCAAGTGAAGATTTGTCTAATAGTTTTTACTCAAAGTTGGAAATACTTGGTCAATAACAGTGGTTACTGGAGCAGAACAGGACGGTTGTATAAACACACTTTTATTTACAATAAAGTGATCTTTACATACTTCTGGATTAGACTGTGGATTTCCCCTCTGGGCGATTCTTGTAAACTATACTCCTGTTTTGAATGTTAAACTTGTGTTTCTAAAGTTTAATTTTGAAATGTTGGGATTGTTCAGTTTATGTATTTGAACTACAATAAACCAACCCTTTTTATATATGGATTGTACAGGCCTAATACCAGTTTTTGTTGGATTTTGTTGGACTTTGAATTCACGAGTACAGCATGAAGTCCTGCTGCCCAGACCGATGGCCCTGCCTGGCAGACCCGTGGCCCTGCGCAGTGCTGGATCTCCCTGCGGCCCCCTCAGGTCAGCACACGCACTTGTTTTCTGGTTTAGTTCTTTAGTCTTGTGCTTAAATGAGACGGGCTGGCGCCGTCAAAGTGTTTCCTTCTCTTCTGTCTTTGACATGGATGTCTTCCTTTCAGTTGAGGGGTGAGGAGGGATTGATTCTTCCATGAGAAACCGATTTTTTTTATTTTTTTTTTTTTCAGCAATTACAGTTTGGTGGCCACCCCCTGGGCCTTGCAGCTGAGCCCCAGGGGGGAACGTTGCTCACTGGGAGGGATTTGTACTGCTGGTGGCTGGAACTGGTGCACGTAGGGAGAACGAACCCCCCAGGCTCAGGGCAGGTGTCCCCATTCCCCCCTGGGCAGTGCCGGCAGGAGCGGGGAGGAGGATGGTAGAGGCCAGAACTCCCACCCGGCGGGACGTCCCGCTCCCCCCTGAAGTACAACTGGCTCCCGCCGGGTGCAGCAGGGGAGGGTCGATGCTCACAGACCCGGGGACTCATTCCGGTACTCGGCTGCCGACAGCACAGAGTCCCCTGAGCCCCCCGGCTGTGGGGGAACCCTGCGGGCCCCCTCCACACCCCCCGGCCTGCCCCGGGCCCTCGCGTCCCCTCGGGCAGCCGTGGGGGTGCCCTGAGCAGGACGGGGGGCTGCGGCTCCCTGTGAGGGCAGGGGGTGGATTCACTCCCCCCCGGCTGGGCGCAGCCCTGCAGGAAACCGCGTGGGTTTTACGGCTGTTTTAAAATATGGTTAACTTGTTCATTAAATGAATAAGATGGCTATTAATTTTAATTTATCTTGTTTATGGAGACCAGATGTTCATTAACATTTATTTATCTGCTTATTCTGTGGATAAAGCAATTATCCACCCCCACGGTGGGTTGCAGCTGCAGCCGGTGCTGCTGGGGGACGCGCGGGCGAGGCAGGACAGCGGAGCTGGTGTCCCCCCCACGGCGCCTCGGGCAGGGTCCCCTCTGCCCCAGCCCCCGGGGCAGCCGTGGGGGCCTCCTCCAGAGAGGCGGTTGGGTATCGGCGTGCCCAGGGCTTTTCTAGCACCTTCTCTGCTGCGGCCCAGCACCTGCCCTGGCCGGGCCCTGCTGTGGCTTGAGTGCTCGCCACGGGCTGCCACGGCAGGAGGTAAATCTCTGTGAGTTTAGGAATGGGAGAGAGGCCCCAGTTTTTAAAAGCTGGACTCGATTCTGGGGTAAGGAGCTGCGTTCTGCACACAGCTCCTTTTCCACAGAGGTGTGAAGACAAACGTGGGTGTTTTAAAGGTCAGAAGCCGGGCTGGAAACACTCACAGTGCTGCCCCAGCCGCCCCCCTTGGCCCCACGCTGTGCACCGGGGAATAACCCCGGGCTTGAAGCTGTGCACATTGTAGTAGATTAAGGTCACACAGTTAATGTGAAGGTAAATGAGTGTCTGTTTGAATAACATTTCCTTGACAGTATAATCCATGCCCTGCAGCTTCTAATGAGGGGTGACTGTTTAAATTCATCACCAAGAACAGCAGAGAATCGGTACATGGACTGCAGAGGAACTGGCAGCTCGTTTTAACACTTTACCCAATAATGAGATTTGTCTTGCTGGAGAAGGTGAGCGGGTGGACACGGCCGGTGGTTTACTACCAGCACCAGCCCTCCACGCTTCACCCCCGGCACAGCAGCAGGGCTGGTGCGTCGGGGATCGCACCCTGCACAGCTCAGGGCAGACGGACGGCGACAGCCCCTGCCTGGGGGAGCTGCTCTGCGCCGGATCCCGCTTTGGGGGCGTCCTGAAGCCAACTCGGCTCTCAGCCATGGCTTCAAATGGAAAATAAAGCTGGTGCTTCCCCAGCAGCTGCTGTTCCACGGGCAGTGGAGAGTTGAGGCACAGCTCGTACCTGCAGCGGGGAGTTGCCCACCCTGTGCCGGAGCAGGAGGGAGTGAGGAGCCCCGGGCGCCTCCCCAGCGCGAGGGGGAAGGGTCAGTGAAGCCGCCAGGAGGGTGCCCGAATCAGTGAATTGTCTGTGCGTGTACTGTCCAGCCTGTGTGTGGAGCTAAGGCTGTGTTTGGGTTCTGTGAGATGCGGTGTTTGATCAGGCTGCCAAGGGTGTGAGGGTCAACACTCTACCCCAAGCAGCTGCTTTATGGGCATGAACATCCCCATGCACTTGCCCGTGCTCCTGTCCCACACGGGCTGTGCAAAGGAGCATCCAGCAGCCGTTAGCCCGTGGCTCCAGCTTGTGCCAGAGACACCCAAGTGCTCCTTGGCCGAGCCAGGCGCTGGGGCCGGGTGGAGTTCTGACGGGGGCTGACTCACTCCCCAGACCCTGTCACCAAAGTGAAGGGTCCAGCAGCTCCATTTTCCAGAGGCCGGGCTGTGGGGTAAGAGTAACGGCCCTTGTCACTCCACGCAGCCCCGTTACTGGAGTTATTTAGTGCTGAGGCTGGGCTGTGGGGCGACAGGCTGGGCTGTGAGAATGTTCTTCCCTGCATGGCCGAGCAGGTCATCGATCGCGGGCTGTCGGCCGGCCCCGAGGGCGCCATGTGCACTGGGCAGCGTCACACACGTGGCACCAAACAACGCTGCTGGCACAGCACGTGCTGCCCTGCCAGGCAGCACCCCCCCAGCACCCCAACCCCCCCCAGCTGCTCGAAGCGCTGGGGATTGCAGCGGGGACCAGCTGAGGCACCGTGTGACATTTCCTCAGCCCCACCATGGCCCCTGCCCCCAGGGACTCGCCCTCCCCACGGTGCACCCGGCTCAGGGGAGGCTGTACTCCCCCCGAATTATCCACTGTCCTGACACAGAATCCCTGGGGTCCCTGGGACCACCCCTGCCCTCCCTCCTCAGCACAGACCCGGCAGCCAAGCTCTGGGCAGGGACCCTCTGGGTGCCCCAGCGCTCCCCTTGCCCAGCGCACCCGAGGCACAGCAAGCAGCGACTCCACACAAGGACACGTTTGGGACAACTTTACTTCTGATACCAGAGTGCAGGCTTTCTTTACAGGAACCAAAAAAGAACATTTTTTTTTTTTTTAAAAAAATGGTTCATTTACTCTTGCTATTTTTTTTATACCATTTCGTTTTTAAAAAAAAGTTACGCCTGAAAGCCATCACTTGTAATAAATTTACGAGCCAGTGCACTTTGTTTTTTTTCCCTTGAGGTCACTCCTTGGAAGGCAGCAAGCTCTCCCTGCCCTGGCCCTGCCCCGGCTCCCCCAGCGAGGTCGCCTGTCCAGGGGGGTTCAGCACCCCCAGGCTCCGTCCCAGGGCCAGGGCACCCGCCGCCGCCGCGCAGCTCCTGGTTTCCCGCACAGTCCCTGGAGCAAGCGGCTGCTCGGCCCCTCGCTGGTGAGAAGGGGGAGGCCACGGTGGGACACGCGGGAGCCCGGGAGGTGCCTTGCAGAGAGGCGGCCCAGGAGGGGAAAATGCCCTTGGAGTGGTGGAAATGTCCCTGCACTGCCCCTGCGGAACAGTGGGGCACAGCAGGGTCACCCTCACCGAGCCACTTCTGAAGTGACAGTGCTGAATTTTTTAATTGAATGTATTTATTCATTTGCTTTTTGTTGCAGGAGCAGGTTTCAGATTGACTGAAAATTCAGTAGTTCTGTTGTTTTTATTGAACAGTTGCTCAAGTGAAAGAGGGACCTGAACACTCTTTAGAGTAGAAAGGGGCAGCCTTGCCATGCAAAGAGGAAGAGTTATTGTTTTTATTATTATTATTATTGTCATTATTATTATAATAATGTAGGACCACAGACAGCCTCTCTCTGAAGCAGTCAGGTGCTAACAGCAATATATGGTTGGATTCTTTTTTAGAAGGTCATAAATTAGCAACTTATACTTTATCTTTAAAAAAATTGAATGAATAAATAAATAAATTAATTTAAAAAGAAAGAGAGGGAAAGTCACAACATGCAAGAGCTTACAACAGAACAAGTAAAAATGACCAAAGCAAAGACAAGAAATGCAGAAGAGAAGCCCAGGTTCAATTTGGTTTGCAATCAATGCAGTTTGGAAGCATCATTTATAAAGGTATTTCATATACCAAAAAAAGGCACCACAGTATCTACAAAGCCAAATCCTCAGGAGAGTTTCTGTGGGGCGGGGGGGAAGGCAGCAGCCTGGCTAGAGCAGACACGTCCCGGCGCGCAGCAGATCCCCCCCCCTTTAAGCTTGTCCTTTTCCTTTGCAAATCTGAACTTTTCCATTTTACGTTTGGTTTTGCTGTCTCTGTTGGTAAAAACACAAAATAATAATAGTAAAAAGAGAAATGTGAAAAATGGCAAAGGGGACGATGTTCTGATCTTGCAGCGTACCAGGTGGGGAGTTTCTAGGGTCGGAGCGGGATGCTGTGCCCGGTGCTGGTGCCCCGCAGCCGCCAGCCCCCGCCCCACGCTCGTCCTTTGGCCGCAGCCCTCCGGGGGCACCAGCCCAAAGCCAAACGCCGCCCCCGCTGCCCCACAGCTCTCAGCGCATAAATAAAGAGAAATCTGTGGTCTCTGGGGCGCCCCCCTGCCCCGGGGGTACGGGGGTGCTCGCCTCCGCGCAGCTGCTATCTGCAGAGCAGTAACTGAACACAGGAATAGGAAGGAAGAGGAAAAAAAAAAAAGGAAAGAAAAGAAACATTTGAAATCTTGTGTTTACTAGTAATCAGTACATGAGATTCCTAAATAACAACTTGTCCTCCTAGTTAACCTTGTCCTGGAATATATACAGGTTGTTTGTTGCTGCCACGGCAATGATGTTCTCGGAGGGGTGCCAAGCTGTGTGCAGGATCTTTTTGCTAAAGTCCAGACTGTCCACGCTAATCTCGTCTTTCCTCCGCTTGCCACCCACGCAGACCTTGCGCGGCTTGAGGATGGCGCGGGGTTTGCTGTTCTCCCGCGAGGCCTCCAGCGTCACGTCCCGCTTGGTGTTGCGGTCGAACATGCGGAAAAAGTTGTTGTAGGAGCCCGTCATGATGACGCTGCCAGGAGGAAGGAAGGACAACGGGGTCACCACACGGCCCCAGCCCTGCAACACCCTGGCCCCGGGGGCACAATGGGGACACCGGGCACCTCGGAGGCCGTGTCCCACCTTACCCTGGGCATTGCACATGTGGGAGGCAATTCTCTCACAGTGGGAGAACAGGCTTCATGGCAAAGATTTAGCTGCCCTGAACCCAGTGATTTTTCACACCTTTTTAGAGGCAGACTGAATATCCAGAGGCATAACGAGATTTGGATTAGATCTGGAATTTGGGCTTCAGGCCCAGCTGTGCCTCATCAGCTGGCTCTGATGGTTCAGAGAAAAGGTGGGGCAATCCTGCCAGGTCAATTGGCTGCACCTGCCTGCTGCCACCTGGCTCGACGTGGCACACCTGTGGATAGTTGTCAGCCCCAGATTGTGGCAATCTGGAGCCAAACGCATCACCACCCTCCCCCAGGTGTGGGAGAAATGGGGGCAGAAACTGAACCTGTCCAGGAGGGCCCCGGGACCCCACTGGCCTCCCTCAGCAGCTCCTGGGTGCAGAGGTGGGGTTTGGGTGATCCCTGGTGCACCCACAACTACTCCCCAGACCCCGAAAGCCGGGACAGGGCTGGCACGGGGGGTGGAGGGGGTGGGTGCCCCCAGGCCACCCCAGAGCGAGACCCTGGAGCTGCACCGCTCACCTGTCAGACCCGTTCCAGACGCACTCGAACTTGTCGAAGATGCAGTCGTTCTCGTAGAGCGAGCAGAGCTTGCTCCGCAGGTAGTCGTGAACCTGCCCGCAGGGAGGGATGGGTGTGAGGGCCGAGGCCCCAGCTGGCACCGCCCAGCAGCCGGCAAACGCCAGCCCGGTGCTCGCCAGGTCCTCCAGCCCCGTGGCCGAGCCGTCAGCACTGGGCACGGCCTGACATGGTGTGGCCTGGACCGCAGCCACCCCCCCACTGTAGGGAGCAGCACCAGCACCGCTTCGCAAACGGCTTGGGCAGCGCCAGGCACGGGGCCACCAGCACCCGAGCTTCCCCTCCTCACCCACACCCAGCCTGGGGATGCGGCTTCCACCTCTCCAGCCCCTCGAGCCCATGTTTAACATCTCTGTGTTCATGTTCCATGATTTCATGGCACAATGCTGCCATCCGTGGGGCTTGTACCCACGCGGCTGGGCAGGAGCACCGCGGGTGCCCAACCGCTGCCGGGGCCTGGCCGTGCCGCGCTCACCTGGTAGGTCTCGATGGGCCGGTTCTCCATGTTCAGGTCCCAGACCTTGACAGTGAGATAGTCCCGGGTCATGATATACCTCCCACTGTGGCTGAATTTGACATCGGAGATTGAGGAGATGATCTCAGAAAAAAACGACCGGTTACTTGGGTCTTCGGGCTCTTCGAAAACTGCAGAAGAGGAAAGGCCAAGCCCCGGCATCAGCCAAGGCAGGAGCTCCCTGTCCCCAGGCCAGGACCTGCCATCCCGCCCCGGCACCGCTCCGACTCGGCGTGGAGCCCCACAGACGGCACCGAGCCGGGGCAGCCACCGCCTGTCCCAAACGCCCTCCGGCCCCGCTCCACCAGCACCCCCGTCCCCACGGGACCTCACCACTGGCCCAGACCAGACAAATGTCTGTATTTTAAGGACTTTGCTTGGCACAACTGAAGCTCCTTCATTGTTAATGCATGCAATAAGCAAGCAGGATCACTGGAGACCGATCCATCACCAGCACCACAGAGCCCGGAAGATTTAGAGCCTTGCATGGCACTGCTGCTCCCCAGAAATCAATGTGCAGTGTCAATGTAAATATTTTATAGCCACTGCAACCTACAGACTTAATCTGATCAGTCTGTGAATAAATCAGAGTTTGAAGGAGATGAAGTTCCAAATTAAATGTATTTACAATTTTGATTTCAAAGCAACATCAGCTGGGCAAGTCTGGCTTTAAAAAAAAAAACCATCACAGAGAGAGGCTGCGGGCGCGGGGACGTCCGTCTGTCTCCCTGTTCCCGCAGACAGCTCTCTGGCGCGGCGGTGAAGGATGCCACAGGCTAACAGCAGCTCACACCGCTTTGCTTCTCTAATGGAGAAAAATCCAGTCGCCACCTGGGTCTGTCTGACCCTCGTCCCCAGCGCTGAGGCTCCGCCACGGTGGCCTCTGGCTCCGAGGCACCGGTGGCCGTGGCCGTACGGCGGCAGCGTGCCCTGCGCTCGCCCGGGTTTATCGTCCCCGCGCTGAGCCCTGCGGTACCAACACCTGAACTCCTGAGTACAGCGGGGAAAACCCCTGAAGTGCCGCTATAAATGATCTCCCTACAAATCAGAAACAGCATCGCCCACAGCAGGACCCAGCTCTGGGTCCTTTCATCACCAGCAGGAAATCTGATGGCACGCCAGGTTTTTTTTTTAAATAAGAAAAGCGACAGCAAGGAGCGGCCGGAAGATCTGAGCGGGCTGCGGAGAGCAGCTGACGCCAGGACTCATCTCGCTGCACCACGGCGGGTTTGCTCCCTCCGGGGCCGCAGCTCCCTTCCGTCCCGGTGTAGGGGAGCCTGGCCACGCCTGGACGGGTTCAGTTCCAGAACAGGGGCAAGAGGAAACTGTTGCTGATACTGCAGAAGTAGAAATGTTAAATTGCAGCTCAACTACCCAAGAGGAAAGGCCTCAGAGAGCGAACCCCAGGGCAGCGGCACGGCTGGGGAAGGGATCCCCGACCCTGGGACCGAGCGCAGGCCCCGGCAGCGTTCCCGTCTGCTCTGCTCCTCGGCCAGCCCCCGGCCGGGCTCTTGTGCCGGGGGGAGCTGGCACCCAGGAGGGGCTGCAGCCATGCCCAGGACGGGGCTGGGGCAAGCGGGAGAGCACGGGGGCCCCGGGCAGCTCCTCTGTGCCGAGGAACTCGAGCACTGGGCGCAGCGTGGGATCCGGCCGCACACAGCAGAGTCCAGGGCGGGATCCAGTCCCGGCCCCGGCCGGCGCGGAGGAGCCGTCGACCTTTCAGACTTCGGAGCAGGTTGCTGTGGGTTAACTGCCCCTTCCCTGCGCTGGTCACCCACCGTACTGGGGCTCTGACACTGGGAAGCAAAAACCAGACCTACCAACGCCCACAGCCACCGTTCAAACAGCACTTCTGGAGGTGACACCCCCACCCCAAGCTGCTGCCTCCTCGCTCCCAGGAGCTCCCCTCAGCCAGGGGACCCCTCTCCGGGCAGCTTCAAAGCCAACGGGTTTTTCCACTCATCAATAAATTTAACACCAATTCAAGCACTGCCTTTTCTTTCTCACTCCTCATTTAATCATGACAATTAGCAACGCAGACCAGGAAACCCAGCGCAGAGCAGAGCTGCCCTGCACTGCCACCAAACCCCGCCGGGCCACGGCTGCCACCTGTCCCTCCCTGCGCTCAGCGCCACCGCTCAGCCCCAGCACCCGCCCCGTGAGACACCGGCGAGGCACCAGGCCGAAGGGCTGATTTCAGATGAAGACAGGAGAGGGTTGCAAAGGCAAAGAGGTTTCCTGCTTTTCTAAATGAGCTCAGGGTGGCACAAGAGGCTTGTTCTTCACCCCCCGGAGATTCTGCACAACCGACTAGTTAATTCTTAGCTTGAGGTCTTGCCAGGCCTATTATTCCATGCAGCAGGACTTCGTTAGCTCCTGCGAGGGCTCGGAGGAAGATGATTAGTTTCTGGGGTCGACATGACCAGCTCAGCTCTGCTCCAGCTGAAACCTGGGACAATGAGAGCTCAGCTCAGCTCAGCCCAGCTAAGCTCACCTCACCTCACCTCACAGACTCCCAGTGCTGCACAGGCCTGGCTTTGTCTACACAAACAGGGCATCAGATCCCTGTGCTCTACTTAGATAACCTTTCTCCTCTATAAAAGGCTTAGCTGAAAAAATAGGTGAAGAGAACATGCTGTTAGCAGGAACTCGGGAGTGAACGTGTTTTGCCGGAGCCTGGTTTGGCTTTGCAGAGCTGGCACTTTAGCTTCATCCCTGCCTGTGCCAATGGCGTGTGGCAGCCTGGGATACGTGGCTCAGAGCCTCTCCTCTGAGCTGGCCAGGGGTGAGGCCAAGCCTCCCGGGGCGTTTAGCCACGCGTCGAGGTCAGAGAAGTTAATTTAGTCCAAAAGCAGCTGCTTCACTCCTGTGCTCTCCTCTCTTTGGAAAGAGCCAGCTAGCAAAGCCCAGCTTCCCTCTCACCTCTCCTCCTCCTTCTCCCTCTCTCCCTCTTTTGTGCATCCTCAGTTTCAGGCTGCACCAGACCAGTGGCTGTATTAAGTGACTTGTCAGATAAAGGGACTCTGGATCAGTCAGTCCCGTCCTACACGGTCGTTCCTCCTTGCTGAGCTTTTGGGGCGTCCCTGGGACTGGCTGCCAGCAAGTGTGCTGTGGGTTTAGCTGTTTCAGCACAGGTCTGTATTAACCTGTGTGAGACAAACGGGCAGAGCCGTGTCTCTGCCAGGTTCTGGCTGCCTCCTGCCCCCTCGCACACCCCCAGCCTCGGGCAGCACCCCTGGGTCAGGGGGCCAGGGGCCTGCTGGCCCAGGGGCCACATGCCACTCCTGTGTGCAAGGTGGCTGCACCAAAAGCAATGGGGCCACTTGGAGTGTAAGCCCCAGGTGAGGCACCCGACCTCTCCGGATTTCAGCTGAGACTCCAGTTAATCTGGCAATAAATGGGGCCCCCGCAGGCACCTGGAAGCACAGCGGAGCAGCGCTTGCACAGGCAAATGCATTCACCTTCTGCTCCTTCTCTGGCTTCAAATAAAAAGTCAAAACTCCACTGATAAGCACAAAATTAATCACACAATTAATCACTCTGCTAGCACAAGCAGAGAACTGAGCTTTGCTCTGCATTAGAAAAATCAACTCTGCAATCACCCTCATCCCAGAGGTGCAGGAGCCTTGCAACCGCGGGCTATGGGCAGAAATTACTGCTCTGGTGGCAATTTCCCCCACGAACTCGAGCCTCATTCTGCCTATCTGTAGCGAGGCGACAAAACGTGCTCCTCGTCCTCACAGCTGAGGTACGGATCGAGGACGCGCTTTGCAGCGTGCTCCGCGCCGACGCGGGCAGGGCGGGGGAAGCTGCTGTCTGCAGGGCGGCTGGACCCCGCTGTCCCCAGCCCCCAGCACCGTCCCCACGGCCACCAGGCAGCACGGCCGCAGCCGCTCACTCCATCGTGGGGTGCTGGGGCCCCCCCCGGCCCTGACGGGGGCTCTGCCTGGACAGGGGTCACAGCACATGGGCAGGGCCCCCCGGTCCCCGGCGGCGGGATGGAGGGGGTCGGGGAATGCGGCTGGGCAGGGGCTCAGGGGAGCTATTTCTGCTTCCCGGCTGAAGGCTTCTGCGGCTTTGCTCTGGCTGCAGAAGCAGATCCGGGCTGCTCACGGGAAGGATTTCTGAGCACTAATTCTGTTACACAACAAACCCATTTTCCTCTGACATGGAGCAGGCGCTGCCCTCCCCACGCCACCAGCTCCCCCTGCCACCAGCCCCCCAGCCTTGCCCAGGCCCCTCGCTGCGGGGCCACAGCCCCCCACACGCCGCGGTGCCGCGGGGGCTGCACGGCCCTGGGGTGACCCTGCTCCGCGGGGACGGGCCTCTCCTCCGGGCCGACAGCAGGGCGATGCAGTCTGGCTGGGCTTCCTCGCGGGGCCCCTCCACAGGCAGCAGTGCTGGCCCAAATGACGGCGGGGATCATTTCAGAGAGGCATCTGCAATATCGGAGGGTAAAACCTGTGGCTGTGGGTTACCTCAGCAAAGCAGCTCTGTGTGCTTCTTATTTCTAACTAAAGCTGAAACTGTTTTCAGCCAAGAATAACATTTGGTAGCGTTGCTGTAAGGCAGTCAGCAGGATAAAGACAAGAAGGCAAAGGCTCCCCATTGGGAAACGGGCAGTACTCAGAGCCTCTTGTTTCAGGAGCTCGGTACGTGCAGCCACAGGTGGCTCCTTAAAATAAAAAAGGAAAGCCCAACACCTTTGGCTATGAGGAAATCACCAGTGTCTTTCCTTGCTTTCCCACAGGCTCTCCAAACAGGATTACTTTTGCCGGCGTTACCAGCTGCTCCAGGAAACCCAACCTCCCCACTGGCTTCCCACGCTGCTTCGGACACCCCCCACTTTTGTGGTGCCTGCTGTGCCCGGGCAGGCTCCCCCGCCGGGCCACGGCCCTCTCAGCGCGGCGGCCGCGCCTCTCCTCCGGCCGGCGGGCGTTCCGTGTGGAAGCAGATGGCTCTGAGGCCAGCTACGAGGCTGGAGGTAACAGGCATTGTGTCACAGATTGCAGGAGCCTCAAATAAAATGGGCAAACAAAAGTTAATAAGTAGAAGCTGGCCCTGAGAAGCAAACTGCATCTATCTAAATAAACATGACTGGGATGTGCAGCGCTACCTTCTGCATTTTTATTAAATATTGACAGTTATTAAATGTCTCCGTTGGAGGATTCGCCTCCAAAAGCCAATGTTGCTTTTCATTTTGAACTTTGATGGACTGTCTCAATTTCAACTCACACATCTGCTGAACTGCAATTGACTGAGGCTGATGCTTCTGAGGGACGGAGGGAAATCAATAAGGAAATGTCACGGGAGAGGTCAAACCAAGCCGGGATTCACCGCTGGCTGGGGCACTCGCCGAGGGCTGGAGGGACGCGGCAGTGCCCAGACAAAGGGAAATGCTGGGGGGGGGCTCCTGTCACTGGAGTGTCAGGAAAATGAATTTTGTTTGCTCCTTAATTGTATTCTGATTCTCAGCTGGGAGCCGCACTGTAGGACTGCGAGACGCGGTCGGGAAATGCAAGAATAGAAAGGTGTGTTTTGGGAAAACTGACACTTGACACTTCTGTATCTCCTGCCAGCGATGTCAGCTTTCCCCTCCACCCACTACCCTAGTTCAAAAACAGGTATTGGACTGCGACGGCAGCTCAAAAGCCCAGAAGCATTAGCTGGTGTGTAATTCCCTGTCACCTCTAGGAAAGCTCAGCCTGGAGCACAGCCGGGTGTCTCTGCACGTAGATTATTAGCATGGGGCTCCAGGAAGTTGCACCTGGTCTGTGCATCTTGTTCTCGTAACATTATCACACTTTGAATACCAAAAATCTCCTTCACTTCCCACAGGACATTGGCAATTTTCTGAAGGAAACTCAAGAACAGGAGGCACAGGGGTGTAGCTGTCCAGTCACACAGCATAGCAGCCCGTGTTTCTGCTCAGAGGCAGATGCCAAACTCCTTTGGGTCTGTCCCACCTCTGTGTCTCATCCACAGCACTGAGCTCAGCACGGAGCTGCCCCCCAGGAACTGCTGGGGCACCAACAACAGCGACAGGGATGCGCCAGCCCACCCCTAACCGCCACAGCTGTTCATGCCACCAGTTTACCAGCAGCTGCTCATAAAGAGAATATTTCCTGCCGGGCCCAGGCTCAGTAGGAGCCACGCTCAGCTGGCTGCCTCGGCACCAGCTCACTGTCGCATCAGCCCGGGGAGGACCCAGGACAAGCTCCCTGCCTGCCCACCTTACTCCAAACATTGTGGGGGCTTTTCTGCATGTCCTGACCCCCCCGGAGTCAACTGGAGCTGGCAACAGGACACGGGGCTGTTTGGACAAACAGCCTCAACAAACACAGCACTGTCTCTGGCACTGACAGCTCTGCACACGCTGGGCACCGACATCCCAGGGACCCCTCGGACCTGCTGCCGCCGAAACACCACACTTGGGGGTTTTTAACAGGCTCCCCCAAGGGTGTGTGGCCGGGGCCCAGGGGAAGCTGCTCTGCTTGGGGACAGGCAGGGCTGAGGGCACGTAGCCACGGGAACACCCAGGGGCACGCATGACCCCAGCCCTGCACACCCCGAGGGAGGATGGGGAGAGCTGGTGGGACAGACCTGAGCCCAGGTCGGGCTCCACGCTCCCGTTTTTGGGCTCTTTTAAGCCAAAGGGGGCCCCGTCCCGCTGGCGGGGCTGTACTCACACTTGGCGTGGCGGTCGCAGAGGGCAGAGGTGCGCATGTCGCACAGGCGGATGGTCCCTTTGCTGCTGCTGTAGACGAAGGTGTTGCAGTGGTGCGGGTGAAACTCGGCAGCCGTGATCACCTCCGTCAGCTCCTCCATGTTGGCCGGTTTGATGTCCACGATGTCTGGCGGGGCGAGTCAAGGAGCCCCACGGAGCCCGGCCCAGACCCGCTGCCCTCCCGCTGCTGTCTCTGGACACCTCGGCTTCCCCTCGCCCCGTGCAAACTGGGGCTTTGATGGGTTAAAAATGCTGGGTTGAAAACCGGGCTGCAGACCCTGTCCCCAGGCCTCACAGATGGTGCCAGGGCCCGCACAGCCCCAGAGAGCATCCCAGTGCTGCAGGGGACGGCTCACAAGTGTCTGTCCCAGCCTGACACCGAGCCAACAGTCACCGGTGGAGGCGGCTTCAGATGTTACAGTGCAGACACCCAGCACAGGACGATTTCCCCACTGACCAGAGGGCGAAAAAGAAACAGCACCTTTCCTCACAACCTGGAAAGCAAATTAAGATCCTGCTGTTTCTAGCAAGACAGGAATTAAAAAAAAGAAGAAAAGATGATGATGACTAGATGAATTTCTCACCCACGTGGAGTGTTCTACAGCAGCAATTGCTCTCGCAGAAGCAGCTGCTGCAGCTCACAGCCGCCGAGCGGAACCTGGAGCCTGGTGGAAGCCAGCCCCGCACCCAGCGCCCGGCCCCGCGGGGCAGCGATCGCCCCCCAAGGCGCCGCAGCCGGAGCGTGCGGGTGTTGGTGAGGCACAGCCAGCCTGCATCGAGGAGCAGTCCAGGGTCACACTGTGTCCCGCATCCTGCGCCGACCCGCTTCTGACCTACAGGGACAGCCCCCACGCTTTGCTCAGCAGGGTTTCAAACCCCATCACACTGTGCAGTGGCTGGTGACAGGCACAAAACCAAGAAACCCCAACCCACAGACAGCACTGCCTCTTCCCAGCTGGCAGGCAGGGGCTGGATTTGGGTTTTATTGACAAAACGGTGACGCGCTCCTCACCTCCCTGGGCAGGCGGGCGGTGCAGCCTCCTCTCCCTTCCTGCCACCTGGCCCCTGCAGAGAGCCCAGAGGGGCTGGTCTCGTGCTCAGCCAAAGTGGGGACACCTCTGGGAGGGGCTCCAAGGTGCTGGGCAGAGGGGTGACACCAGCAAGCCAGTGGGATGGGACGTCTGAGGGGACATCTCTCTGGTGGTGATGCTTCTCCATCAATTCTTAGCAAGCGCTTTGGGTGCTGCACTTGCACCTTGGCCAAACTCCCTCGGGACATCTAAACTCCCTGCGGTTTCACCCAAACTGAGTACTGCTCACCTGCTGCCCTGAAAGGCGACACAGGCTGCAGCCCTGCTCAACCGTACCCACTGCGAGCTCCCACCAGCCACACGCTGGGACTGCTGAAATCCGCTCCAGCTGCCTAAATCTGCCACGTGCCCTGGGGGTTTCTCTGTAGGAAGCACTATATAAATATCACCGGTGATTAGTGCCCCGTTGTTATTATTTCTGATGCGGCTGTTACAAGGGTGACTGGCACGACCTCATTTGTTTGACTGTGACTGGCAGCCTGTCACCCTGCTGCAGGGTATAAAGGACACCGCATGATTAATATTTCCTCTCCATCTTCCCCAAGGCAGCTGTCTTCTCCATCACCCGCGGACCCCCCTCCCTCCCTCCTTCCCCTCGCACACCCTGCAGGCAAAATTCAGAAATGTGTCACCCACACCGGGAAGCAGCAGCCTCGGCGATGCCAGCTGAGCCCTGCGCCGCGGCGGGAGCGACTTGGCCACGGCCCAGCGTGCCCACCAGAGATAGCCCGGCACCCCGCCGGCAGCGCGGGTGAGCCAAGAGGGATGTAATGACACATGGGGACCAGAGAACCCTGATGTCCTGCAGCCGGACACATGATTTTGTACTCTCGAGCCCCCCTTGCCAGAGGGTGAAGCTCCTCTACCAAGGAACCACAATCGGGGGACGGGGCCAGGTGGGAGGCTGCGTAAGCCTCAGTCACCATCGCAGCAGACACAGCCTGGCTCCGCTGCCTCCCGCGGCACTGGGCCTCGCAGGTTCCCCCTGCCCCTCACCTTCAGCGGGGACCCGCCGCCCCCATCCAGCTTTCTCCTGCCCCCACTGACACCTCTGTGTGTCTGAGCTCCCAGGGCCCTCACACCCCACTTGCCAGCCAAGGCACCTCCCTCACTGCCGCTCTTGGTCCCGCGGGGCGGCACGCACCAAAGGATACTAAAGCTTTGATTTGTGATTTCAAAGTTCCACAGGTTTATCCTCAGGTCGTCCGCCGACATGTAGGTCTCGTAGTCACTGTTGACGGAGATGGAGTTGATGTGGTAGGTGTGCGCGTTGGCGAACACCCGCCGCGGCGTGGCCTCCACCATCAGGTCCATGGGCCGCAGCACGGGGACCTGCGGGGCGGGGAGCAGAGTGTCAGTGCCCAGGGACGGGCCCCGCTGTCCCACCCGCCC